AGCGTGTGCATGCCCATACACGCAGTAATACCCACACATACACACACACACACACACACACAGTTGCCCAAATGTCTCTTGTCTCTCTGAACCAGAAAGTGCTTCTGCTGGCTGTTTCTTTCTCTCTCTCTCTCTCTCACTCTCTCTTTGCTTCTCAGTTCTTTCTTTTTTGTTCCTCTCTCCGTGCGTTGTTATCAGGCACTCCTGCTGGGCCAATTTAAACGCAGCTTCTCCTTTTAATTTCGATAATATCTGAGGCCATTATCTGCTCACTGCCTGCCCGCTTGACCGCCTGACCGCCGGAAATGTAACCCCGCCAATCCCAAATCATCCATCTAGAACAAAAAGGAAGATAATGAAGAAGCTGGCCCGGAGCTGGTCTGAACCATTAAGGGCCAGGTTATGTGAATATTAGAGAGGAGCACTGGGGGCAACTAAGTGTCCACGCCTCAACAGCATGTGGGTCATTTCGTCCATCCCTCAGGAGGGAAATTACACCATTACACTGGCAAATGTTGTAATAGCCAGTTCAGTGTTATGAGTGAGGTGCTAAATGAATATGGTTAAAGGGGATTTTACCTCTGTTGAGCCAAACTGAGTCAAGCTGAACTGTGCAGTCAGATGAGTAGGAATATATACGACAATATCTGACAATGTCCAGATTGTCAACAAACATCTTTATTTGGCGTTGCACAGGAAAACTGTGTGAACGGGGGGGGGGGGGGGTTTTTTAAATCCATGCTTTTATTCATCTTCTTTTTTTTTTTTAGCAAACAAACAAACCAAACTAAATGACCACAGAACTAAGTGGCCACTGTGGCTGCAAGTGACACTTACAGGGTGTGCAGTGTACCTGTAGCATGAGTGAAGAATGGCAGTAAAGTCAACAGACTGACTCAGAAATGTCAGTTACGCAGCAGTATCCACCAAACGTGAAGTAGGCTAACATTAGCCACACTGGTCACATTGAGACCGAGTGAGGCTGTAGCAGTCAAATCTCTTGAGTGTCTGAAGCAGGGGAACGATTTATTGTTTAAAACGCTGTCACTGGGAAATGTAGTGGTGTGTCAGCATCCACTAGATGTCAGAGACCTGCTGGTTGATGCTCCCCCTCCTGTTGGAAAAGAAAACATACCCCAGGCTTCAGACTTGTACTTAGTGCTAACAAAAATGCTCCATATAACTCCAGTCCCTTTAAAAAGGGGATAATCTGCGAGAAGAAAACTTCTTTTGTGGCCGCACTCCTGCGTGCCAGATAAGACTCCCGAGTTGATTTGAATTGGACATGACGGCTTCTCAGAACGGTAGCCAATTCACTTACCCCAATGAAAACCCGCCATTCAAATTGAATGAGTCAAACGAGGCTTTGCACAAAAGCACCAATCCAACCGCCCACACTATTCCTAAAGTTAAAAGCTCTCTTTCCATCAGCTCTCTCTCTCTCTCTCTCTCCACGCTGTCTCCCACTCCTCGTCCTTCCCGTCTTTGCCTCTCTCTTCCTCCATCAGCACTGACAACTCCATAATCTCAGCCAGAGTGACCTGTCCAGACCCTCTGTACCGGCTGAATTTATTGGAGGCAGAAAGAGAATGAGAACCTGTCACTCGGCTTCCACTAACCTCCTAACATCCTCTCTCTCTCTCTCTCTCTCTCTTTGGCGTGTGCAGACACTGGGAGACAGTATGCATGTATACCATCCTACACCATCTATACCTCTACCTACTATATACAGAGTGTTTGTACTATAACTACAAACACAAATATCCTCTGACTCGTCCACACAGAAACACATAAACATCTTTTGATCAATGCTTCGCTGCAGTTTACAACTCGGCTGAACCTTTCGTCTGCTATAAGTCTACCTCCCTCGATTCTTTCATCGGCTGCCCTTTCAAATACAGTGTTAGAGACGCTATGTTATTTTGTCCTGCATGGGAGCTTTCAACAGGGCTGTTGCTATACAAGTAAAGGTTAAAAATTTTTTTTAGCAATCACAGCTAGCCAAGTGCACACACTTGACCATGACAGCTCGCATTGAGTCGGATGTACGTCGGCGAAAAGATGGGAGGAATTAACAGGAAGCTAATGTGTGGAAGTTTTTGTCCTTTGAATGAAGAGCATGAGGTCTTGATTTCCATTGAATAAAAAGCCTTTTTGGTTCAACATATTCAGACTCTGGGATCACCTGCATCAGTACTTGGACGCGTATTCGACATGTGGCGCCGGGGTTGAGTCTGTGAGGAAGAAAATACAGCTCTAAAAGCGATATGCTCTGCCACAGTCGACTGTGATTTACACTTTCCATCTTTTTCACAGCAGTCATCATTTTTACGCAAATATGACTGATCCCCCCCACCCCACCCCCCATCCCCCACCTTCCCTTTCCCTTTCCACCCCCCACCCCCCCCTTATGAAAAAGCTGGTAAATGATGATGGAAAAGCGTGGCATTATCTCAGAATCCACATGACTGGATAATTTGGCTCTTTGGGTTTTCTCGCTTTCACTTCAAAAGTCAAGTGATCAAAGGGATCTGAGTCTGAGGCCTCCCCAGAAAAAAAACAAACAAACACAAAAGCAATGTGTCTACATCATGTTAAGCTGGATTCTAACACAGGCTGTGTTAGACTTGACTGGTTCTCATTGAAGTGGCGATGATGCGGAAACACAGGAAACACTACGACCTGCGAGGTGAGTCGGGACTACAGCGACTCTGGGTTTGACAGTGTTGTTTTATGAGTTTTTATTTATTTAAAAAGGCTACAGTGGACACATTTATCCAGCCAGACAGGCTGAGCAGAGCTGGTGGTGGGATTTTGCTGAGCGACTGGCCCACACATTAAAACGCTATAATAAAAATGCAGAAACTGATCCTTAAATTTGAATTTAGTATCTACTTAACTTTTAAAGTTTGCATGTTTGCATGGATATTTGTGAAAGTATAATGTCATATTTTGCAGGGAGGTTGGCTTGAACATCTCTGCAACTGGAATTAGGACTTTTCAAATATACAAAACACAATAAAAAAAAAGTCTCCCAGGGGCTCTTTGTTCTTAGAGAAGGAGCCAGATTCAATGATCACATGAGGGCGTTGACATAAAAATTGCCTTAGCTTCAGCATCATTTACACTGGCCTCTTTAAAATGCAGGAAACGGAGGGATTTTGGGGGGGGGGGGGGGCAAAACAGCTTTTGACTTGCTGTTGCAGATGTGACGTGACAAGAGAGAAAGTCTGTTCTGGTGGTGAGCATGTAGTTATTATCAGCAATACTATCATTAGCCTCATCATTATTATTTTCCTGACTTTATGTTGTTTTGGGGTTTTTTTTGCTAGTGACTGCCTGCTGTTGTTGCCAGTTGTAATTATGGTGCTTCTGATGGCCTTAACCCTCCATGAACCATCATTACAGCACTCTCTCTGTGGACTTAGTCTACTCCTGCATTCTGTTCACCCATTCACTCACTCACTCACTTGCTCTTGCATGCCCTGTCTTTCTCTAAATGTTTCATTGCTCATTCCTCCTTCAGCATGAATCCCTCCCTCCCTCCCTCTCCAGCTGCTCCTCCTCCCTCCCCTCCACTGCACCCTCTGTTCCTCCTGTCCTCTCTCCGTCTTTCTATCTTTTTATTTCCTCTCTGCCAGTGGTGAGCAGTCACCAAGCTTGTCATTAGTGCCAGGTCCAAGCCGGCACTGTAATCAGACCCCTGGAATTAGCAGTGGGCCCACACTGGCAGCCAGGCACAACGCTGACAATACACTAGCTATTACTGAGGTTGCTGCAATGTTGCAGCTTTGGCAGGAATCCGCTGCTCCACTCGGAGCCCTGGATCTTGATGGGCTTTGCTAAAGTGAAACAATGAGAGGTACAGCAGGAGTATAGGCACCCACCGAGGGCTAAGGGATAAAATACACACTGGATGGCTACCAATGGGAGAAGTGAGTGGCACACTTTTTTTTTTTTTTTTTTTTTTTTTTGTGAGGGTTGCAGGTTGGCGTTTAAGCACTGGGAGCGTGGCCATATTGGAAAGACAATAGATGCGACATAATGGGGACGTGTTTTATTATTGGGGGATAAAGATAGGGAGGCAAAGCCTGTTGTATTAGGACAGGGTGTAATAGAAATCCATTTACTTGACAATAACAAGCAATTTAGCATCACTCAGAGACTTGCAGCTTTGTTTCTGGCTGCTATAGTGTTCTGTCCCGAACATCAAAACATCCCAAGTCCTGTTTGTGTTCATTGAAAAACCTCTCAGCAACGGTGCGCCTCGCTTTAAGCAGTCAATTCACCCATACTTTACAGCTTTCACATTCAACTCTCATCGCGGGTTTAAAGGAGGGTGTCAGTCTCAGGTCAGATTGCTTTCTGAAATACTGTAGATTCAGTGGTTCAGTGGGATTGCTCTTTTCTGGATCAAAAGCACAAATTTCTTCTCTCAAAATGTACAAACCCGATAGACACAGCGCTAATGGTAACACGCCAAAAAGAACGTGCTAGAATAAAAAATTCTGCTCATGTTAAACGTCTTCAAAGACTGATCTGGGCCTGTTTTGGAAGTTCTTGGGGTGTTGTGATCTCTGTACAACACTGTACAGCAGATCAACAGTTGAATCTCAGCTGTCTTCAAACGTGAATATGCACAATTTATTTTCTTTTTTTTTATCTATGAGCATATAAAGTATTCAAATGTCAAACTTTAAACAGACTTAATTTCCTTTCCAATTTTATAAGTAATTAAGTCTCGCTCTTAAAAATCTTGAATCAAAACGAGGCAGGAAAGGCGGACCACTTCACTGGTGTCAGGGGATTTCTGAAAATGAGTTACTTTGTACTGAAAGCATGTGGAATTAACTCAATTATCATTTTCCATTTGTTTAAAAATGAACAACTGTCAGACTGAAAATGAGATCGGGCTGAGCTGGTGGAATGGATATTTTCAGCCAGTGTCTCTAAGAGGGGCTGGTTGGGTGGGTGGGTGGGTGGTAGGTGATGGTACTTAC